AGCCACTGCTGTCTGCCTCCTTCCTGACGCTGTACTTGGTGGCCGTCGGAGGGCTCGGCCCTGGGAACATGCTGTTACACGGCCAAGTCCCTGGGGAGCTGCAACTAGCTTACGGGAGGTAATTAGGGAGACTGTCATGGATTATCTGAGGGAGTCCAAGGTAACCACCTGAGCCCTAAAGAGTAGAGAATTTTCTCCAAGTAGTCAGAGGGGTGCGGGAAGGGGAAGCCAGACCCAGAGCAGAAGGACTCCACGCGCTGTCACTGGCTTTGATGATGAAGGGGGCGGGGCCGCAGCCGTGCACCTGCAAGGAACTGAATTCTGCCGACAGCCTGAATGGACATGGGGTGGGTCTCCCTGGTTGAGCTGAAGCACCTGGACCTCCGCCGTGTGAGGCCTTCAGCAGGAGGCCCGGCCACACCGGGCTGGCCCTCTGACCCGGCAGCCGTGAGCTAATAACTGTGTTCTGGTTTAAGCAGCTAGATTTGTGGCAGTTTGTTCCAGGAGCGATAGAAAAGCCATGCATCTGGCATCGATAGGCTCCGTGATCATCTGCTGCACAACAGCACCCCGGCACCAGGGGGTGATGTCAGACACGCTGCGGCCCCGCTGGGATGCCCTCCCCCTTCCTCCTCACCGAGATGACCCCGGTCTGTCTGATGAGAGCCCGGTGGCCGGCGGGTGAGGCCAGGCGAGGCAGCTGCGGCTCATGTCATGTGTGGGGTTTAGGCGCCACCCCACCAGCTTCCTGCCGCCCCTGCTGGGACTCGGACACAACCCCGGGCTGGGCAGCAGCTGCTGGGCCACCTGGAGCTGGAACACAGGCCAAGGAGTGGGCAGTGGTGACCCAGGAGCGCCTGGGCTCGGGGCCGGCCAGCCCCTGCCGTGGCCATTCCGTCAGAGAGAAGCCCCTCCTCCATGCGCCGCACCCTGGTCAGTTTCAGCCCGTTCAGAAATAAGTTTCTTGAGGCGGGAATCACCCAGTTTTCTCTGGGAGTAGAATTTCTATTGGGTATAAAGCTCTTATTAGCATTTCCAACAAAAGGGGCCTCCGGGACTGGCCTCGCACTAGGAGTGCTGAGTACAGGTCTGTTCTGGTGGCTCGAGTGGAGCATCGACGCGTGTACCAGGTCAGGGTTCGATTCCCGGTCAGGGCACCTGCCTGGGTTGCGGGCTTGATCCCCAGTGGGGGGTGTGCAGGAGGCAGCCGATCTATGGTTCTCTCCTCATTGATGTTTCTCTCTCTCCCTCTCCCTTCCTCTGCTGACCGATGTGGTGATGGTGATGGTGACGTTAGATGTCTAACGCACTTAGACGTTAAACAAGAGATGCTCTTCTCTCTCTGTCCGCGGGCCCCTCATCCTTGGGATGTCAGTCACTTTCCTTTTCTTGGACCCCTCCAAGCACAGGCACCGCTCCTTGGAGACCACACATCCCCTCTTTAACATCATTTTACCTTTTATCCAATCCCAGAGGCCTCCCCTCCCCCTCGCTGTGCTCTCTCCCGCCTCCCTCATCGATCGCCAGTGGAGTTCATGTGACCCACTTAAATCTCTTTTGACTGTGATGCATAAAACAAGGTAAAAACCAAACAAGCATTCTCCGGAGCATTATCTCCGTCCTTTGAGATTCTGCTTCACAGCAATTGTCAACAGTTTGGCTCAAATAAACTCAAAAAAAAAACCAAACAACTCTCTAAAAAAAAAGAGCGAAATGAAAATGAAGATAAATCAATGGCAGGTTTGTACCTAGTCCCGAAGGTGGCTTCCCTCCTGACCCCCAGGCCTTCGTTTAAGAGCTGGGTATACTGACCTCCGCTCCTGAGGGCTCTGAGTTAGCACCAGCCTGTCCTGCGATATCCATAAAGGCGACACTGGGCAAGTTTGTCTTGAAAGTTCAGGTTTTTTAAACTGAAGATGTCTGGTGCAGAATGAATGTCTGGCAACATCAAGACTCGCACACGCGTTCGCAGGTTTTGCCTTAGGGGTACGGATCTCATTGTTCCGTGGGGAGCCCGCCGGGTCTCTCCATGACTGTCAGCTGTTAGCACGGTTTCAGGAAAACAGGCCCTTCTCTTTGTAAATGTCCAGGGCTTAGGCTAGAGCCCCGCAGGAAAGCCTTCCTGGTTCGCCCATGTCTCACCCCCTCTGATGGGCCAAAAGCCCGCCATGGGCTAGAGCTGCAGGGACTTTAGCCTCCCTGATGCATGTGTCGGGAGGTGACATGAGAAACCAATTCAATTGAGGTGTTGCAACCCTGAGTATCAGAATGTGGGGGATTTAAAAACGAGCCCTGGCCAGTTGGGCTCAGTGGCTAGAGTGTTGTCCTGTGGACCAAAGGGTCGCAGGTTTGATTCCCGGTCAAGGGCATGGACATGGGTTTCCCAGCCCGGTAGGGTGGGTGCGGGAGGCAACCAACTGATGTCTCTCTCCCACTCCCTCCCTTCCACTCTCTTTAGAAATCAATGGAAAAAATATCCTCGGGCGAGAATTAAAAAACAGCCCTAGCCGGTTTGGCTCAGTGGATAGAGCGTTGGCCTGCGAACTGAAAGGTCTCAGGTTCAATTCCGGTCAAGGGCACACGCGTGGGTTGTGGGCTCGATCCCCAGTGAGGGACTTGCAGGAGGCAGCCGATCCATGATTCTCTCTCATCATGGATGTTTCTCTCTCCCTCTCCCTTCCTCTCTGAAATCAATAAAAATATATTATAAAACAAACAGAACAACACAGCCTGGCTGGTGTGACTCAGTGGTTGAGCATCAACCTCTGCACTGAGGTCTCGGGCCGAGCTCTGGTCAGGACACACGCCTGGGAAGGTGGACTCAGTTCCCCAGCAGGGGGCGTGCGGGAGGCAGCCGATCCATGTTGCCGTTTCCTTCATTGACGTTTCTAGCTCTTTCTCCCTCTCTCTAAAAATCAATAAACACATTAAAAGACACTCATGCTCAGACCTCATCTCTGGACGTAGTCTTGCATAGGCCCTGGTAACTTAAAAAAAAAAAGGGTGACACCCCTCCGCCCCCATAGCAGAGCCTTTAGTAGCCGCCATCACCATGACAAAGCCGTACACCCTCTATCCTGCTTCTGGTTTACTCTGCAGACGGACTCGCACGAGAAGGTGTGTGGCGCTGTGTGTGCAGGCAGGGAAGCGGGCGGGAAGCGGTCCCATCGGGGCCTGGACCACTTAGACATGTACACAGTGGACCGGGCTTCCCCAGCTCAGCACTGTGGACATTTGGGGCTGGATGATTCTTTTTTTGAGAGAGAGTAGAAAAGAGAGGGAAAGACAGAGAGAAACATCGATGTGAGAGAAACACATCGATGGGTTGCCTCCTGCACACGACCCCACCAGTACCCTTCAGTTTGCGGGCCAACGCTCTATCCACTGAGCCAAACCAGCGAGGGCTGAGATGAGGTTCTTGAAGACAGAAGGTCTGGCCAAGAGTTAGTGCCCAAGACCAAGAAGAAAGGAGACTCAGGAGGGTACAGTCGGGGGGAGAGAGGAGGCGGGGGGGGTGCGGGCGGGAGATTCCTTGGTGCATGTGCTTTTCACTCTCTGGGAATCTACATGTATAAAAGCCCAAGCGACCGTCCGACCGGAGTGCTATGATGCACAATGACCACCAGGGGGCAGACGCTCGACGCAGGAGCCTGCCGAGCTGCAGTGACTTGGCAGCTGTGGTTTTCGAATAATGCATCCAGAACCAGAGAGGAGAAAGCCCAATTCCGGGATGTGTCACCCGAGAACAACCTCCTCGAAATCCGGACCCCTCGGGGGGATGTCGGAGAGCCGGTTTCGGCCAGATCCCCGCAGGCCAGGCCGAGGGACCCCACCGGTGCATGAATTCGTGCACTGAGCCTCTAGTAATTCCAATGGGCAGTGAGCTCTGAACACCAGGCTCTACAGCAGGGTAGGGAACATCCAGCCCGCAGGCTGTATGAGCCCCTCGAAATCATTTCGGTGGACCCTGCCAAGGCACTAGGGGTGAGTTAATTAAATGTTTGACCAAATACAGCAGGCTAATTTTTCAGCTGGTAATTTTGTATGGCCTGATAATGATGTCATGAATATCCAATGGCCCTGGGCGGAAGGAGGCCCCACCCTGCTCGACAGCAGCTTTCCTGATGGTTCTCTCCAGCAATTTGGAAACAGAGTCGGCAGGGAGAACTGACCGATGGCTGGTTTCTTAGCAACCAGGGTCCAGTATGTAACAAAGTGGCCCTGCCCTTGCATGTGAAGGACAAGGTCAGGTGGAGCTGGAACCATTTCCCCCAGGTGAGGCCCTGTCTGCGCCACCTCCGGGCGGGACGCCTCAGTGCGTGCCGCTCAACCCGCCCGGTGAGCCCTGGCCGGTTGGCTCGGTGGACGGAGCGTCGGCCCACAGACCGAAGGGTGGGCTGGTGCCTCGGTTGCAGGCTTGATCCCCGACAGGGGGCCACGTGGGAGGCCACCGATCCATGTGTGTCTCTTTCTCTTGTCTCTCTCCCTCCCTTCCACTCTCTCTATAAAATCAGTGGAAAAATACCCTCTGGTGAGGACAAAAAAAAAAAAGACAAAGGCGACCATGGGACCTCTGCCCTAGAATCCCCCCCAGCAGCCACGCGGCAGATCAACAGCGGCAAGGGGTGTATTTGGCGTAAAGAAGCTTGTGTTACCGAGTTAATGCAGAAGTCTGGCCCCGCGCGCACGCGCGTATTAAATAGAAACCGGGGACCACAGTCACCTACGACACACGGGGAGGGCCTGGGTGTCCGCACACACTCCGCAGAGTCTGGCAAGTTTTCCACGTGCTTCCTCGGGGCGGACAGTCTGTCTGAGGCTCCGTTTTGAGGGGCGCCTGACCCGAGGGGTGTGCGAGGCTG